GAACCCGTGACTCCAACCCAGAATCCTGACCTCAGACACAGCCGAGATTCAGTTGCTGCACGCATATCCACGCTTCCTCTTCACACGGTGCCAGCCGATAGGTTTACAGAGACCCCCCCAGATGCTACCGACCATCACAGTCGACATGCTGTGACCTGCAAGGGACAGAAACCAGGCGGCAACCTCGCTTCCTTCCAACGCCTGCAGAACCTGTGTTTCAAAGCCAGTTTCCATCCAGGTACCTGGGTAGGACACATGTGACCTAAGCGCCCATCACAGGTGGCTTTACCGCTGGCGCTGATTAGTTTCTCCTGATCCATCATGAGCCCCGCGGGGGTGGCGTAGCTGCAGGGACATCGCTCTGTCAGCCACAGGTCTGGTTCTGGGACAGTCCCAAGAGCCCTGCAGAACAGCAGGGCCAGGGCTGAGCGCAGGGGGAGGCAGCAGATACCACGGGCGACTCTGGCCTGACACGTCCTTCTCCTGTCTACACAGACCTTCCTTTTCCCTTTTGTCTGCTTTGTGATAGTTAATATACCAAACCGTCACTGTCTTCTTAGCCTGTAGGAAGCCTAACAACTCTTATCTACCACAAACCACCCAAGCCTTAAATTGCAGCAGGAACAGTGACAGTGATAGATTAGAATTTTTAAAACCAAACGCAAACGTGTCCCTGTCATGGCTAAGAGAAGGGCTGAGCTGACTCGAAAATAATTTACTTAGAAAATTTTGTGATACATGGTAAATTAAGTCCCCCTTCAGCACGCCTTTTTTTTTTTTTTTCTCCAGCAAAGTATTCGTCTACTTAATTGATTCCCAAAGACTTCCTGCTCCAACTTAAAACTATTACCGCAAGGGGAGACTGATGCAAGCCTGGGTCTCATCCAAGGACAAGATGGACAGTTCACTTTGAAATTTTACAAGGGGTTGCGGGGGAGATGGATTCCTAATCAAACAGGCTTTTTTCTCCAGCCTTGAAACATGGAGCTGAAGAACGATGGGAAAATCATCAGTGACAACAGCTAATGAATTTTAAATCCTTATTACAAGAAAAATTAATTTGCTAAATTGGCCCCGTAGATTCGGGTTATAGAATGAGTCACCATCTCCTCAAACATGCAAGACTCAGAGCAGCTAAAGTGGCTCAGACTTGCTGTAGCCGGGCCACGCTGGGGGCCACGCCCCCTCACCAAGCACTGTCCCGAGGGGCCAGAGCCGTCTGTCCCTCCACCGCAGACACTCTGCTGAGCACGTCACACACGTCATCTCATCTCCCTACCTCTGGGGCTATTTTATACATTCCCAGAGGCATCCTCGTCCCCGTGATGGGGTGGGAACACCCATGCCTCCTGGGACTGTGCCAAGGATGGATGCAGACCCTTGTCCCGGGAAGCTCCTTCATGCCCCGTGACAATTCTCTATCCCCATTAGCGCAATTGGTAAGTGATATAACTTTCCAAAGTTACACAAGTTCTAAGCAGCGGGGTTAGACCCAGGTGTGTCTTGCCTACGCTGACAGATGGAGGCGAGCCCACACCACAGAGGGAGACAGAGCCTGCCCGGATGCAGGATGGCGTTAGGGCTGAGGGCAGACAAGACTGGCTGCGGGGGCACTTGGGGGCTCTAGGGCCAGGGGTCTTCCAGGGTCAGGCCAGCCCCACATGTCACAGGCCCCCCCCTTGGCTGGTCCCTGTCTCTACTCCATGTCTGACCTCAGGTGGCCCCTGGGGCTCCTGCTTACACTTGATCTGGTCCCACAGCTATACGGTTCCTGGGCTGTTGCTCTGTGGAGGAGACCTTGCTCTCTTGCCTCTAAATCTCCTCTTCCCTGTCCCCCCGAATTTTGACCTCAGCCCCCACACCGTGTTCCTGCTCTGCCTTTCTGGTATCAGGGCTGGAAGGTAAGGGGGGAGGCGGCATGCCACTGGGAGTACAGAAAGCAGCTGAGGAAACGGGACACTCCCACTGGGTTCAAGTCCCACACAGCACTTTCTGGCCTCAAATGTCACCCAAGGTGGGTTCCTTACCGAGTCTGTCTCCTCCGCTGTGAAAGGGCGAGAAGCCTTGGCACAGGGTTCTTCGGTTATGAGTGCTGGTCTTGCTTGAGCTCAAATTCTGGCTCTGCTACTTCCTGTGTGACCTTGAGCAAGTTTCTTCCCCTCTCCGTGCTAATATTCTCCATCAAGAAAACTCTAATGATAGAACCTTACTGGCCTCGCTGTGAAAATCGGTAAGAACATCCACACCCCCTGGCATGGAACAAGCAGTAGAGAAGTACCAGGCATCCCATCTTCTGAAGACACAGGCGGATGGCAAGACTGAGTGCAGAGATGCGTGGCAAGCTGCCTAGTGTGGTACCTGGCACGTGGTGGGTCCTTATCACACACAGTAAAGCAGGAAGGCAGGAGCTCACTGTCTCCCAGCCCAAACTTTCACTGCTCTTGGCACAAAACACAATGTGAATCAAGAAGTATCCAAGTAAAACAGCCAGGGGGGAGTCATCAGAACCAAGGAACGAATCACTTGAGCACCCCACCTGGCTCAGAGAAGCAGGCACCCCCAAGCTCAGCATTTGCTCCCTAGAAAGGACTTTAGAGACCCAGCCCCCTGCCCTGCCCCATCAAACAGCCCCGGGGCTATGTTACCCGCTGTGTTTGCCGTAATTCAGTGGGGGGATGCAAAAATAAACCGACGCTGCACAGCATTTGCCATGAGCAAAGGCTCCCCACGAACTGTGCAAAGGGAGCACCAAGCGCTGGATGATTTCATGACTCCTGTGGGGGAAACAGGCTGTAGATATAAAAGAATACCGTGAAGGCATTAAACAGCAGCATTCTTTCCTTCCTTCTCCCCACCCATCCTTTCCTCTCCTCCTTCCTCTCTTCCGGGCTGAGCATGATCCTAGCTCCCACCATCAGGTGTCCCTGCCCCCCTGCCCTGGGGCCATCGCTCCCAGCCCCATGCCCCACGTTCCCAAGGCTCCAGCTGAAACATGGAGAAAAAAGCTGGAGGGCGAGTCCCCAAGTCAGACAGCCCACTTTTCACTCCTAGCCTCGCCCCTTACTAGCTGTTGACTTTGGGCAAGTTTCTTAACCTTCTGACCTCTGTCCTGATCGGTTAGGTGAGCCTACACTAGGGCCCACCCAGAGGTCCAGCATCAAGTGCAGGGTTAGGCTGGGCTGGTCCACAGGGGCTTCTGGTCTTGAGGACTTGCCATCTCCCGGCTGGGCCATGTTAGCTCAAGCCTTGGTCCTGCTGCCGCCACCCTGCCTGGCCCCGGGCTCATCGGAGGTGGCAGCCATGTCCTCCAGGCGCCCCCACTTGGCTGCAACCCCCACACCGCTCTGCTCCTGCAGAGGTTTCCACGTGGGCCACCGGCTCACTCCTCTACCCTCTGACCCAGTGGCGAGTCTCTGAGGCCCGGGAGCCCAAGTCACCGGTGAGTTGTGCTCCCAGCTCCCACCCCGGTGCCTGGCCACTGGAGGCAGCCGACTGGCCTCTGCGGACTCAGTGAATGAATGATGCACGCCAGGCATGGCGGCAGGCCCAGGAGAGGGGAGACTGCGGACGGCAGGGTGCGGCCGTCCTCAACTCAGCTCACAGGTGAGGACAAGAGATGGCCCTGTCCAGCTTCTGTTTGTCATCTGCCACGGGGCTCTCCAGGACCCCACCGTCAACAGCAGGAAGTAAACGTCTGCTCTGTTCCAACTACGTACAGGACGTGGTGCCGGGCGCCTTGACACACGTCATCACAGTAAATCCTTGAAACCGACCAGGCAAATGGGGCCAATAATTTACCCCATTTGGTAGAGGATGAAAGGAGCCTCTTAAAGGTTAACCAACATCACAAGGAGTCATAGATGTGGAATCTGACTCAAACCAAAGCCTGCCTCCCAGCCCAGGCACAAGGCCCTCATGACCTACATTTTGACACTAAAGCCGCTTCTCCCTCATGTCTATGTTGAGCAGCACCCAAGGACTTCAGATGGCCCAGCAGGTACCCAGCGCACTCACGATGAACACCAGCCAGGGCAGGCAGCTCTTCATGGGGGAGCTTCCAAATTAGAGCAGGATTTTTTAATGATTACAGTCACTGATGACACAAAGAAGTGGCCCATGCTGGACGGGCATCTCAGAAATAATCGGATCCAACTTTTGAGACGATCGGCATGCAGGACTGGCCCAGCCCGACTCAGCCAGGTGGACAGCTGTGCAGGAGTGAGGAGTCCCTGCTGAGTGTCTGGGCACCTGCTCCTCGGGATCCTGTGTCCCTATCAGTTCTGGTCAAAGGCCCCATGTCAGGAGGGGCGGGCTCCTCCCTCCAGCCTCACTCGGAGCCCTGAGCACATTCAGTCGAGTCTTTTCCTGTTGTGTGTTCATGTCTCCTCTCTCCCTCTAGACGGTAGATACTGGGGTCTGGTTCCCCCATGCCTAGGAATACAAATCATAATTGGTATTTACAGAGTATGGGCCAGGGCCTCTAATGCCTCCAAGGACTTTGCAAACTCAATCCTCTCCATAATCTTAGCAGTTAGCAATTATTCTCAGACCCATTTCAGAGATGAGTAAACTAAAACTCAGCCAGGCATGGAAAAACATCAAGGTCACCCAGATAAGAAGTGATGGATCTGGGCTTGAGCTCAGGTACTCTGCCTCTAATGTGGATGCTCAACCACGTCGACATAGCCCACCCTGATGCATGGACATCGTCACCCTCTCTGGAGTACCACTCTGCCCTTCACACCCTGAGACTACTCAGGGCCACCAGCTCCCCACGGTTTACTGAATAAAGGCAATATCCAACTCTCATTCCTGGTTCTTCTAGGTTCTGGCTTCTCGTTGATCTTCCTGCCTTTCCCCTTAGAGCTACCCACCAGCCAAATAGGAGTGCCCAAGGCTCACTCTCCCTCCCCTGCTATTCCACTCCATTATTCTCCTTTCCTTCTGTTACCCGTCCCTGTCCCTCCACCCCAGTCCTGCAAGTGCAAAACCTATCTAGCTTATAAGGGCCTGATCACAGGTCTCCTCCACCCTGGAGCTTTCCCCAACTCATCCCAAGTGGGGAGTGTCCGTCTTTCCTCTGAACTCCTTTCCTTGCCTAGGGCAAGAAGTCGCTTTCCTCCCTTATAGCAGCAGCTTAACGCTTCCCCCAGAGATACCTTCCAGCCCTGCTGGTGTGGGATGACTGGGCCGGAACAATGAGGGCCAAGTGCACGACTCCATCTGCTCTTCAACCAGAGCAATGCCACTTCCTGTCTGCACATTTGCTCATACACGCCTAAGACTTCATGTGAAGGGTTCTCAGAGGAAACAAACCTCAACCTCAGTGAATCGGATGGTGGATGATGTCAAGAGCCCCAGGGCTGGGCAAGGCGCAGGAGGACTTGCCCTGATGCCCCTACCATGCTGTGCACAGAGCAGAGGCTTAAAAAGGTATGGGATTTGCCATGGTGCCTGGACCGCCTCTCAAACAACAAAGCTTCTGTCAGCTGATTACTCCTCCCAAGGGCAAGGTGGAAAGCAGGGGCGCACATGTCTCGGCTGCAACAAATCAAGTGTCAGGCCCCAGGAAATAAAAGGTAATACCATTCACCTCCAAACACGGGCCGCAAGGCAAATCCTACAATGCTTTAGCGGGAGGAGGGACACCATTGTCTGCAATGTTAAGGCTTTGGATCTTGGATGGGGAGGTTCTGGGTGGGGCCCAAACCCAAGATGTTGATTCAGAAAGGGGAAGAGTAAACCATCCAAGCTAACGGAGGAACCAGAGTACTCAGGCAGAGAATGTTTTTATTCTACCCACCACATCTCATAGAATGGGAGGTGAATAGTAAAAAGTGCATTTTTTTTTTTTTTAAAAGCAAACGAATTTTAAGACATAAGCTAAGACCCCACCTGTCATGGGAGTGGGAGGGTCATCAATTGTGGTTACCGCACCCAGCAACAAGTGCCCTTGATTTGGGGGGAGGAGTGGGGAGTAGAATCTTGTAGATAAAGCCAGGACCCCCTCCCCTCCACCCCCCAAGAGGTGATTCAAAACCATAAGGTCACTTTCTCTGTGCTGGCTGGCTCCCTTTCATCAGGCTGCAGAGCGGTCCCAGAGGACGGTTCGGCACCTGGACAGGGTCAAGGAGTTGGGGGTGTGATTTGGGGCAGATGCTGATGGGGACTGGGTCCCTGTATGAATCTTGAAGCAAAGGGGAGATGCGGTATGGGCCATGTGGAAGGTGGATGCAAAATCTTTCCGGAAGCAGAGGATAGAGAGTAAGGGGGGTCTATGCGTTTGTGCTGGAGGTGGGGTCCTGTGTTGCTGGTGATGCCAATCGCCTTCCCCACCCAAGGTAGGACTAGGAGCCCCATGCGGCCGCCTGGGCAGGAATGGCAGAGGAGAGAGCCACGGAGAGCGCCATTCTGCAGAGAGCCTGGCGGGCCTGCCCCGTGGCGCCCACCTGACGTTGCGTGTCCTCTAGAGTTCCTGGGCCTGTGGCCCCATGGCCTGCTCCTCCATGGGCTGCATGGCCTCCTGCACGTAGACGATGAACTCCGAGGCCTCCCCGCCCTGAGTGTAGACAGTCACCGTCTCGATGCCCTCCACGTCGTCAGAGGACACCACCAGGTGGTGCTGCTCGGCCAGCTCTACGGAGGCCTGCTGGAGGGTCTCCTGGATCATGACCGTGTGGTTGGAGCTGGGCTCCTCGTCTGTTACCTGTGTGGGGGCAAGAGAAAGGTCACACAGGCCCTGCTTCTGAATCCGGCTGTAACAACAGAATCACAACTACTGCACATGGAGCATGTAGTACGTTCCAGGAGCTTGTCCCTACTGCACCCAAATGCTCTAGGTTTGCTCTCATCCCTGGCTTACAGATGGAGAGAGTGAAGCTCAGTGCTGCAAAGCAACATGGCCATGGGCCCCAGGGGTGGCAAGTGGCAAAGCCCAAGTCGAAACCCAAAGTCCAAGCTCTTCTCTTGATGCCAAGCTGCCTCCTGGAGGGGTGTGGGGGTTGCCAGGGTTGCCATGGGTGTGAGGGTCGGAAGGTAGCATACGAGTGATTTACTGCAACCATGTGGAAGGTTAGGTGGGTGGCTCCTGGAAATTCATAGCTGGTCCATCTGGCGGTGAGAAAGAGGCTAGGTTTATCCTGGGTTTTCTGTCTTTCCACACACTGTGGGAGCTCACCTCCCTGTCTGAAGATCAGTCTCACTTTGGGAAAGAGTAGATGTCCCTGAAAGAATGATTTCCCCCAGCTGCCGTCCACCGACACCAAGGACTTAGCCATGGCTAAGGTGGCCTGTTGGGAGGACCTGCCCCTGCCGTGGGGCTGGGCGGGACGGTCGGGGGAGGGGCATCTGTCCGTGGAGGGGACCTGATCTCTACAGGCAGGCCTTTCTCTGCAGCTCCAAGCAGGCAGATTCCAGACAAAGCCAATTTCAGCTGGTGCTGCTGCCCCGCACCCCTGACCCTGTGGGCTCTGGCCTGTTTTAAATAACCACTGTCTTTGATCTTCAGAAGAAAAATAATCAGGAGAGAACATGGGGAAGACTCAGGAAGAGTTGAGAGCCTGGAGCTGCAAAAAGAACGTAAGGGTTAGAGTACAAGTCCAGGGAGGGGGTCTGGGATGGTTTGGGGAGGGAATGAGAAAGTTCTTAGGTGCGTGCAGGGATGTCAGAGAGGAGCTGAGGGACACGTGCTTTGTCCTGCACGGAGCAGGGCTCGAATCGCAGTTCACCACTGTCTGCTGGGAGGCCAGGCACCTACCCCGCAACCCTCAGTTTTCCCATCTGTAAAACAGGGACGAATGTGCACTGCGGAGGATGGCTGGGAAGGTAAAGGAGATTCTCTGTGCAAAGTGAGTGCCTAGTAAACAGCACTGCCTTTTCGGCGTCTGTAGCGTTCATTTAACAAGACTTTCTTAACAACCTCCAGCTGGAAGGTGTGGCACGTCAGTTACTTGTCAATCCAGCCATGCCGTCCAGCCCATGTCATCATAAAAGGTCCCGGCAGACTAAGCCCCATGCAGCAGGGGCCGCCGAGACCTGGCACCGCTCTTTCCCAGAGCCAGGCCGGATGCACACACAAGCACTCAGATTTGCGGAGCGACGATCCGCTGGGTACCGGGTGCTGGGGCGGGTGCTGGGGAAGTGGCCCGCTAGAAAAGCCTCGTCCAGCGGGGCAGACACAGGAGCAGAGCGGCAGTGTTCCCATCCAGGGTGGGCGAGCCAGGGAAGGCCTCCAGAGGAGCAGTGGAGATGGGCTCCAGGCAGAGGGGGCAGAAGGAGCAAGGGCTCCCAGGACAGCCAGCCAAGGCCGGTGTGCTCAGGTGGCCTCCGTGAGCTCCGCCGCCACCCGCCCCCCGCCGCCCCCCGCCAATGCTCTGATTCCTCTCCTCCCAGCTGGTGTCTGGCACGGGAAGGCCTCCTCCTCCCTGCCTGCCCGTTGTCCCTAACAGCCATGACTCAACGCTCACCAGGGGCATGGGGGCCCCCAACTGGCTCACAGGGGCCTCGCTCTGGCCCTGTGACTACCAGGGCGGGCTGTGTCAGCAGGGGGATTGTATTTAATTGAGGGACAAAAATGGAAAGGCACCTCTGGGGTGGACACCATGCAAAGCTATGGATTGGAAGGCACTTCTAATTTGGACTGAAAGAATTCACCAGAAGCCAGAGAGCTATCCTAAGTGGAAACTATTAACACATTTAGCCTGATTTGTTTCTCCAGAGTGAATCAGGACCTCTTTTTTCTTCTTCTTCTTCTTCTTTTAGTGTTTGTTTCCATTTAAATGGGAAAATGTACTGAGAACCAAGACTTTGGAAGTAAATATTGATTTATTTCACACTGAAAGAGGGTGCCTGCCAGAAGGCTGGGGGCGGGGGGACACACAACGAATGCGTTTCTCCTCTTAAGTGTTAGGAAATTCTGCATGAAGGAAAAGGTGCGGGGCCGGGGCAATCTGTGCTGAGCCCCAGGACCTCCCGCGTGCAAAGCCAGCCTGCTGCACTTGAAGTAAACAGACACACACGCCCCTGGCCATGTGCGCTAATTGGCGGTCACTGCGGTCAGAGCCAAGGCTGAGATAAGGAAGTAGTCACAACAGCAATTCCCATGGGCTGAAATTCCTGTCCCTCTGAACAACGCTAACACCACGACGGCCCCGTACTGACAAGGGCCGAGAGCAGGGCCATGGACGAGAGCACCCTGCCTTTGGTGAGCAGGGACTGCGGCCTCCTGTTTCCAGGACAGCTGAGTTCTTGGACACCGGGGGCGGGGAGGAGGGGGTCCAAGGTGACCCGGAGGGCTCTGGCCCACAGAGGTGGGGAGGAAGACAGGCAGAAACCAAGACAAGGCCGCTGGGCTTGAAGTAAGGGTAAACTGTGTGCTTCCTCTGTCGCAGGGGCGGCTTTGAGGACGGTGGTGATATCTGCACATGGCGGGAAAAGGCTTTGCAGGCAGAGGGCAGACAGTGAGCAAAGAGCAGGCATGTGCCCCAGGCCCTGCCAAGGCTTCCGGCCACCTCCCAACCACCACGCCCACTGCACAGAGTTCTGTCTTCCCCCTTCCAGAAGGCTCTACGCCATCTCCCACTGCTGAGCCAGCCTCAGCTTTCCTCACTGTGACACCCTCTCCCGGCTTCCACAACCCTCCCCTGGGCTCTGTTCTGAGCCCTCTTGAAGATTTCCCGTCCTCGACCTCTGCACTGGACCCCTCTCTGCGTCGACACTCTGCTCCCGGGCTGAGCCAGAGGCACCGAGCTGCAGGCCACAGGGCCATCTGCTCCTGGGGGGCCCCCTGGGGGCATCTGTCCAATGTGCCAAAGTCACAGGAGGGAGGGAGTGCTAGGCAGGAGCGGCAGGTGAGGTTCATGGTCAGGTCTGAAGAACCCTGGTCACCAGCTGAGGGGCTGAGACTTCGTTTTACAAAGGAAAACACAGATGGTTTTCAAAGAAGGGCCTGCGTCACTGGGTCCATGGCACCCCGACAATGGAAACTTGCCTAACGTGAGAGGTTAAAACTGAGTGTTACACTTATCTCACTGCCCCTTTAAATATTTATGTTTATTTGTCCATATCACCTTTTCTAATTACAAAATCTATTCAAAAATAATCCTCTTTCCTTTTTTTCCCCCAGTTTTCAGCTCCAGGGTTTTGTGCAACAGAATCACCATTCAATCCATCCACTGCTAATTATGAGAGCACAGTAAACCTCAGGGCTTAATTCACCAGAAAGAGTGATGGAGACAAAGGTAAGCGCGCCTTTTGCAGAAATCCTGCAAGGAGTATCCTTCTTGGTGGGCACAGGCATAACAGGGGCTGCATGCCGCTGCTCAGTCACCTTACTGAGCCCCCAAAACAGAACAACGGCCAGGGTCCCCAAAGCCTGGCCATCACCTCTGCGGAGCAGTGTTTACATTTCCGCGAGCTTTCATGAGCGAGTGGCCCTGCCAGCCCTCCAGCTGATACGGGGAAGAGAATGTTGCAGAAGGAGGACTGATGGGGGGGTAGGGGAGTGGGCATGCTCTACAGAAGGGGTTTGTGAGGCTCTGCAGAGGGAGCCCCTCCCCACCCTCACACACTCCATGTGCCAGGTTCCTGCAAACCGTGGACCTTCCCCATCCCAGGGAGCCCAGCGTCCCCCCAGCCCCTCGCCGTTTACTGAACTCCGTGCTGGCCATGTCCGCACGGCGTCTCAGGCTGGGCATTTCTGAATGAAACCTTCAGTGGGCCAGTGACTCATCCAGGGTCAAACAGCAGGAAAGGAGCAAGGGCTGGACCTTGGCCTGGGTGACCCCTCATCCACAGACCTTCCTCGGCTGGGGTGGTAGGACAGCGAGAGATGGGATTACACGTCACAGATCAACTGGGTTAAATCATTACTTCACTTCAATCCAATCACTTTTACAGTCCCGGTAGAGCTCTCAACCATTTCCTCCATTCAAAGTGATCTCTCTGGTAGCTTCAACTAGTGGCTCAGGCTTAAAATTGTTGCCCACAGTAGAAATAATACAGCTTCACAATGTCATGCCCTGAGACGGGAACTCCACTTTCCCCAAATGCTGTATCTAACATATCTTCCAGCTAAATTATTAGCAGCAAAGATAGCTTAATAGAAAACCTTAACCCAGGGGACTGGACAAATTATTCACTAAATCAGGCTCTGAGTTCTGCAGCTCTGCCCACCTCAAGCATTCTTCTAGAATCTAGACCAGATGGCTGTCAGACCCAGGCACTCTGCTGGGCTCCATTCCCATTGAGGAGTGGCTGCCTGCCGAGGCAAACGCTAACGGCGACTGGGTTGCATGGCATTCAAGGGGACGTTTCAGTTCAGAGCCAGGCCAGGGCCCCTGCCTTGTGCGGGTCCTGCTGCGCCCGCGGGTCTGTGGCCCGGTGGAGGCGGCGGATGGGGCGCTTATCCTGGACACTGGGCGGGGCGGTCTCCTGAAGGAGCCCGCCTGGTCCTGAACACTGGGAGGCCCAGACTGCGGACACCTTCTCAGGTCCCTTCCACTGCAGGGATTCTCAGACTCCGTGGCATGCTAAGAAGAGAGAGCTGCACCTTCAATGGGCAGACCGACAGCACAGGACTCTGCCAGGAAGGAGCCTGCAATGCCAGGACCACCCCCTTCTTCTTGGTTCTCAGCCTGGCCTCCTCCATTTAACCCCATGGGCACCATCTGCTTCCACGGCTTGACTCCCTCTTTAAAAAGAACACAC